GCGGTAGCAGCTCCTCTGTACTCAGGCCAGATGCTTATTCACTCCTTTCCTCCCTCTCCCCATCAACCCTCCACACACACACACACACACACACACACACACACACACAAGCATGCACACCCGTGGGCAAAAAATGAACACGTGCGCACAAACACACGCACACACACCACCATCACTGCTATTTGTATTCAGTTATAAATAATGGCAAACCCATGTGAACCTCTGATCCGAGATGCTCATAGTGATATTTTGATCAGTAAATCCTTCAGCAACCTGCAGTCACATTTTCTAAATTAACTAGAACCTTATGTAGCTTGGAGACCAAAAACCAAATACACCTCTAATGTTAAAGACCAATGTTATGTATATATTTTTTCATCTTGTTTCTACTTCTCTTTGACAGTTCTCAGTGAACAGTAACCAAGAAATAAAGGAGATTGATATTAATAGAATTAGGAAGAGTAGCAAATCTATTTGTCTGAACAACTGAGCATAACGTATTTGACTTTAATAAATCAGATACTTTCTTTGATTTGCTTGGAGACAATTCTGAGTTGTGCCTGATACATAAGTCTCAGCTAGGGTACTTAAAACAAAGGAAAAAAAATAATTGTGTGGTTCTGTTTACCTTTGAAAACTAATTTTTTTTCTCTCTGCATCTTAGCATTACCAACTGAGAATTGATAAGCTAAATTCAAAAATTAAATTGAATTTAATTAGAACAAAATTTAATTTCAGTGTTTCTTTTGTCCTTACTAGGGCCCAACTACCATTCTCACTTCAGTTCCTTTCTATGTATGACCTTTGTAAACTGTGGGGAGTCTTGTTCTTAACCTTTTATTCTTATACTGAAATTTTAAAATGCTTTGGGTTTTGTCTTTGGGTGTTTCTTTTTTTTTCTTGATGGGGGGAGAAGAGGAACAGCTGGGCCGCATCTGACTATGCTCAAGGGCTACTTCTGGCTCTGCATTCAGGAATTAGTCCTGACAGTGCTTAAGGGATGATATGGGATTCTGGGGATAAAACCAGGGTGCAAGGCAAGCACTCTAACCCATGTAATATCTCTCCAGTTCTCATAAGGTGTTTTGATCCACCAACAGCTTCACCAACAGTAATGAGATAAGGTGATATACAAAGTTTAGTCGCATTTTTAGAGAGAAAATATAGTATATATAAGGATACATAATGCTTCTTCTCAAGAAATGTTGGACTCTTAGGAGTAAAAAACTGTAATGAATCCTTATAAAAAATAGATTTTAGGGAATATCACTAACATATTTGCTAATCCAGTTAATTTTGTTTTTAAAAATAATCATTAAAGTCATGCATCTTAGATCAAATCCACCTAAATAATAAAAGCATTTTCACTTTCAAGATTCTACTCTAATAAATAAATATGTAAAAGTCACATATATAATTACATCTTTTCTAGAAGCCACACTAAACAGATACAATTGCTTATAATATGTTATAACCTAATATGTGTAAAATATTATTTTCATATATAACCAAAATTAGAAATGAAGAGCAAGATATTTTTACATTAGTTACAGTAGTCCTCACAAATAATGTTTATCTATAAAGATTACGAGAGGAAAGTAATTAAGACTAAAAGCATCGGTGGTTTTTATAAAGTAAAAAAGCTATTTTCAGTAATAAAATCCAAGATAATTAAATTGGAATAGATTTTGGTTTATATTTCAATAAATCTCGAAAGAAAATTAGTTTTCTTCTTACCGTTAATTATTCTGTGAGCAAGATTTGTAAAGTTTCTCCATTAAACATTTTTTTTAAATAATGTGTAAAATCATTAGACCTGATGCAACTGTCCTTCCTCCCTCTCACAGTTTTATTTGTTTCATCAAAGTGCAGCACAGAATCCAAAATCATTTTATTGATTGGGTTGATTTCCTTCTTTTTCACATGTGTCCCATTAGGGTAGGAACCATGTATATGTATCATGAATACTATTTTATCCACAGTATATGCCATCCTCTCTGGCACATGAGAATCACTTTATTAATAGATTTTAGAAACAAATTGAAGAACATTAGCTAGGTTTTGTAAAAAGGCAGAATCATTTTCTGTTTTCCATTACTAATGTATGTTAGAATATTAAATAATATTTCCCCTAACATATGAATTGAACAAAACAGAGTAGATGACTCCAAAGTTTCGGCTTCTGTAGCGCATACCTAAGTCATTTCAAAGTAACTTCTTCCTCCAAGTGTGAGGATTAAAAGGCTGCCGAAGTCCCATCTCGAGACTGCCAGGGACACCCACCAGGAAGTCTGAAGCAGGAATGTGATTTTGAGAGTTGGAATATTTTCACCCAGGGCCGCCAACAGTTGCTCAGGCCGGGACAGATCACGAAACAAGGTCAACAAGGCGAGGGAAAATCACCAAGGGAAGAGCAGAACTCGGTGAATTTCTCAATAGCCACACATCCAACCAAAGGGAAAAGCCTGAGGCACAATGCCTGAGCGGCCAAGGCCTGTCTGTTCCCGGCCAGTGACTCACTAGCTAGCGGTCACGCCTGGTCTTCTCTGCTTACATGGAAAACAGCCTTTCTTTAGAGCCAGGCCAAGAGACTACTACATCAGCCTAATAGAAACTAAACCAGCCTTGGTCACACCAGATTATGTCTACCAGGCTACCGGGGGCCCCACACCTGCACCCAGGATGAGCAGGTCTGAAGCAGGCATAATGGTTCCTACCAGAGCCAAACATAATATGGGTGGACACGTGCCTCGAGTTTTACCTCTAGACTTTTTGTTTCCTTAATAGAAGAAGAAAAGTATGTCTTTTGGCAATAGAGCATCTTGCTGAAAATAGGATACAACACATATCTGAAAGAATCTTCAGTCTCCTTAATTTTTAGAATCCTATTCTCTGGTATAGAAAAGAAAATTAGGCACTTAAGACATTTTAGAGTCCGGTGGCACTGAAGTCTGCAGAATTTGTGAGCACGTCTGCCTAAATTCCTCCATAACAGCAAAATAAGACTCAACAAGAAAAGGAAAATAAGAGAGAAAAAACACAGGATCAAGGGCCAACAGCCTCACAGGCTGAGAGTCTCAGCAGCCATCATCAGAAGGAGAACAAAAACATTCTTTGGTCAAATACCTGCCTCATCTATCCAGGCTACACTTTTACATGCAAGGACCTTAAGTATAAACAGAACAAACATCTCTGTAATGGACTTTCTCAAGGGGAGATTCTTCTGGGAGAGGAAGTGGGGGGGGGAGAGAGAGAGAGAGAGAGAGAGAGCAGTTACAGGACTATACTTTCAGGCAGCATTCAGCCTCCCTGCTCCAACATTCATTTATTGAAAAAGAAAATTTTTCTAGTCTTACTCTGTCATTGATAACTCACTCTATTATAAAGATACAAAGCAATTTGAAATAGTAACAATGATATATCCCATGGTGATTCAATAAAAAATAATATAAATAAAATAATAACTATGGGGCTACTATGAGATAGTACAGCAGGGGCTAAGTCTTGCATGCATCCAAACCAGTTCCTTTCAGGCATCATATATGGTCCCCCAACCCATCAGGAGTAAACTATGAGCACCTCTGGGTGTGGCACAAAAATGAGCCAAAAAAAAAAAAAGATAGGAACAATGTCCTTAAGGAATTTCTAATCTAATTGAAGAGAGAAAACAACCATTAGAAACTAAAGCACTCATTAACACAAAATACAACGGCAACTCCCAGATTCTGTCCTGACAGTGTTTTATTTACTCTATTAGAGTTATCACAGCCTAAAATTGCTTTGTACTATTTATTTTGTTTTAAATTTTCTTTTGGGGGGCCACACCCAAGCAGTGCTCAGGGTTTAGTTCTGTCTTTGCATTTACGCATCACTCCTAGCAGGGCTTGAGAGCCATATGGGATGCCAGGAATCAAACCCAGGTGGGCAGCAGTGCCGGGCAAGCATCTTACCTGCTATCTATCTCCCTGACCCCAGCTTTGTGTTGTTTCTCTAATGTATTCTTATTTACGTTTATGATGAGACTTCTCCTATCTCATGCCATCTGGGAAGCAATAATCTCTGTTCTCAGTGCTTTAAAGATAAATTATACAAGCATATATCTTTCTGTCATATTCATGACCAGTTGGATAAAACACTAACACTAAATAAAATGCAGTTGCATCTTCTGGTATAATCGATAAGTTATACAGATGACAAGTGCTCTAGCATTTGGAGGAAAATCTTAGTGAGAGTTTCCTTGTCAAGGAAGATACCACGGATAGAAGAGATAAAAGCAATTAAAAATAAATCAAATTCGGGCTCAAGAGACAGTAAACCCAGTGGGGCACTTGTCTTGCCTGCCACCAACTCAAATTCAATCCCACCACTACATTTGGTTCCCCAAGCACTGCCAGGAGTGATCTCTGAGCATAGAGCTAAGAGTAACACCACCAGGTGTGACCTCCCTAAAAATAGAAAATCACTGTCACTATCCTCCCGTTGTTCACCGATTTGCTCGAGTGGGCCCAGTGACATTGTGAAACTTGTTACTGTCTCACATTCGATTTGGCATATCGAATACGTCACGGGTAGCTTGCCAGGCTTTGCTGTGCAGGCGAGATACTCTCAGTAGCTTGCCGGGCTCTCGGAGAGGGGCAGAGGAATCAAACTCAGGTCAGCCATGTCAACAGCATGCAAGGCAAACGCCCTACCCGCTGTGCTATCACTCCAGCCAAAAAATAGAAAATAAAAATTTTAAAGATTGAGATTCCTTACATCACATATGGTCCCTATGCACTGCGAGGAGTGATCTCTGAGCACTTCCAGGGGTGCCCCCTCCCCCACCAAAAAGAGAAAGGAAAATAAAGATAAGCACCACTGATATAAAAATTACAGGCTAGTTCCTGAGTTTCTCCATGAGGTAGTATTTAATAATTCCCCTCAATATATCCCCCCTCTCCATTAAAATTGTCATTCTTGGACTGGCTGGAGTGGTTGTATAGCAGATAAGGCAGTTACCTTGCACGCAGCCAACTTGAGGAAAGAGCCTCATACAGTTCTCTGAGGCCCGCCAGGAGTGATCCCTCAGTGCAGAGCTAAGAGTAAGTTCTGGGAGTTGCCAGGTGTGACCCTGAAACCAAAAATAAATAATAAAATATTGAAATGTCCCTCTTGCTCGGAATTGTACAGCCTCCCAAAACTTCTTATCTCTTTTATTGATGTGCTATACTCAAGGAGTGCCCAAGTTCTAATACTACAGCCATTTCTCTGTCATCTATATCATTTCTATAACGTACACCACAACAATCTTAACAAAAACTTCATGAGCATTTACTTGAACTGTTAAAAGTGTCTCTGAACTCATTTTCAAAACAGCTGATCTACCATTTAAGGTGTGATAACTTGCCAAAGCTCTTCCTGAGTGTGACATGGAATAGGGAGCATAAATATATGTATGTCGTATTCCTTCATCTCTACAGAAAGGAGCTAGGATAAACTGAATCATCTCCACATCTCCTTCTTCCATATCACAGAGTGCTGTGATAGCTCTCTGTTCATTGCATAACCTAGCATTGTGCTTCTAACAAAAAAGAATGCACAAAGTTTATTTTATTTTAATCTGAGTGGTGCTTTCCAAATGATACTACTGAAAAATCAGCCAAGAGTTTCAAATCAAAGACCCTTTAAAGGTATAGCTTTTTTTAGGCTCTATTTACTTCCTCAAATGCATTTTGTATCTGATAACTGAATTTTCTTCAGTTCAAGAAAAAAGTGTTGTTTAAAAAGCTGCAAAGCCTATTTGATTTTCCATTTTAAGCAAATCTCTCTTCCACAATCTACAGATATAGATTAAGCAATCTAATCAACATCAATAGTGTCTTGTTTACAGTACATGATCAATCGAGTTCGTGGCACAAAGTCTTGTGTGTTGAAATCAACGGTTGCTGATGGGATCATTAGATAAGTCACAAAGAATGTTCAAGTGGTGCCTTCTGAGCCTTAATGTGTTCATAAATCATCTGTCAAGAGTCATGAAAAAAACAGACTTTGATACACATACTCTGGGATGAACCCAGAGATTGCATTTCTATTTTGTATTTATTTAGTTTGGTTTTGGGATCACGTCCAGCTGTGTTCAGGGCTTATTCCTGCCTCTGAATTCAGAGATCTCTCCTGGCCAGATTTGAGGGACTAACTATATGTGGTGCTAGGAGCAAACCTGTGTCATCTGCAAAACAAATGCCTCACCCACTAGAATGCCTCTCCAGCCCTAAGAGATCACATTTTTACCACTTTCTAAGTGAGGTAGATGATTCTGCTGGTCCAAAAACAAAGGTGCAGACCACAGTTGGGAGGACACAAGGGAACCATAGAGATTATTGTATCAAACTTCCTCATTTCACCCAGGAGGGAAATTGAGGGCCATGTGAAAAATAAGCTAAGAGCCAAGTAGAAATCGACTGTTATGAATTGGTGAGAGAAGACTTCTAGCTAGTGAGCAGGTAAAGTAATGTAGTGAGCTCTGGCTGTCTCCAAGGACTGTGTGTAAAGGACATGACTGTTTCTCATGCAGACAGAATAACACGTAGAGGAATTTCCTAAAGAAAGAAGAGTAGTGCAAATAGAGGAACTCCAGTAAAATCTTTTACAATGGAAAAGAAATACCACATTACTAGTCCCATTGCAAGTACATAGAAGGAGCACAGATACACCTACCTCACCTCGCAGCCCCCATATCAGAGGCTCTCCAATGTCATTTTGCCCCTACAACCCAGCCATGACACGTATAGGGATGTGCAAGGTCATATTTTGGGGAGCGTGGTTTCTCACCCCTTCCTTCCACACTTGTTTTTGTCCCTTACAAGCCTTAACCTCCAACTCACCAAGCAGAATCCAAAGGAATATTCTGCAAAAAAGAAAAGAAAAATTGCTTATTTTTCCATCTTATCATAACTTAGCCAAAACTTTAAGAGGAAATTACTATTTTCTGATATTCTCAAGCTACCCAATGATGAAATCGAGGAGACTCAAGCAGACACACTGACTTCCAAGTCAAATTGCTGAGGTTTTGAGTTGTATTAAATATGTATGTACACCCAACCTACCCCCTGCAGCTTGGGAACTGGGCATCTGAACCACATTTGTTTGGTTCCATGCTTACATATGGGTGAGTTAGCTGACTTATGCTTAGAAAGTTCTTACCACATTTAGGTTTCACCCCTACTTTGCTATATAATTACCATTTCTTCACATTAGGTTCCAACATTCAGAAGAGTCTTATTCTAGAAAAGAAAGGCAAAATGAGAAGAATATTCGGACAGTATAATTTTTTTCCCTCTGGGAAGGGCCAGTGGACACAGCTCACTAGAAAGCATTGAAAACCATAACAAGACCTGGCAAAGTTAACCAAGAAACTGGACGCTCACTGTCAGTGTAGCCTATTAATCAAAATATCAGCCTTCAATTCATTTGGTTTCAATTTACCTTTTACAAAACACATATATAGCAAAATATCTTATGCTGTGTTTTCCTTTGTGCTTGCAAAATTTCACCCCATTTAAAACTTAAAAGGAGGAAAAATAATGGTTCTTACCAGAGCCAAACATAATATGGGTGGACACATGCCTCGAGTTTTACCTCTAGACTTTTTGTTTCCTTAATAGAAGAAGAAAAGCATGTCTTTTGGCAATAGAGCATCTTGCTGAAAATAGGATACAACACATATCTGAAAGAATCTTCAGTCTCCTTAATTTTTAGTATCCTATTCTCTGTGGTATAGAAGAGAAAATTAGGCACTTGAGACATTTTAGAGTCCGATGGCACTGAAGTCTGCAGAATTTGTGAGCACGTCTGCCTATATTCCTCCATAACAGCAAAATAAGACTCTTAACAACTTCCACTTAATTATGGCACTAGCTATTTCTATCTTTGTTTGTTACTGATATGGAAATTCCTAAAAGATCCAATTGCGTGTATGTATAACTGAGGCACCTTGTGGTGAGACATTAAATTTTTTTTAATTTGAAGCAGGAACAGGAATCTAACTCACAATGTCATGCTATTTTCACTGTACTAATTTTTCATGAAATAATAAAAACATTCATATGAAAAGTTTTTATGTTATCCACGCTCATTAGTGGCCTCTGCCCTCTCTCTTGACGCTCATTAGTGGCCTCTGCCTTCTCTCTGGCGATTCAGGAGTAAGCCTGAATGGAGTGATCAGAGCTACTAAATATGCATAGGTCAAAGAAGATGCATGCCCTCTTCACAATGTTTCTAAAGAGCAACAGAAATACATTCCTTTTCTGCTTCTGTGACCTTAATATGCACCGAGAGTTTTTACTATAAGGAATTCTAAGCTGTAGATGATGCATTATTCAACCTCTACTATTGTCTCCTAAAATTTGAACATTCTCATATTGATGATACTTTAAATCTCTGATAGGTAAACCTGAATTTTCTTATAATGCAATTTTCCATGATGTGAGAAATAAGCCCTTGTTCTATTAAACAAAGCTTACAAGAAATAAAATATGTAGAGAGAAGGCAGAGATGATGTATGACAAACTTAATCTACTTCACAGTTTTCGTCAAGCAAGGCCTTCACCAAGTTATAAACATCATTGACATGACATAATTTGCAAGGGAAAAATCATGTGGAGCCTACTTGCCTCTCGTAAGTAAGGAATGATTGCACCCAAAGATGATATAAACATCAATTTTCATTTCTGATTGAATCAAGAGGGTTTTGGCTACTAAAATTGTTCACTGTCACTGTCACTGTGCTCCCGTTGTTAATCAATTTGCTCCAGTGGGCTCAGTAACGTCTCCATTTTGAGACTGGTTGTTACTGTGTTTGGCATATTGAATACAGCACAGTTAGCATGCCAGGCTTTGCTGTGTGGGCGAGATACTCTCGGTAGCTTGCCGGGCGCTCAGAGAGGAGCAGAGGAATCGAACCCAGCTCGGCTGGGCTGGCTGCGTGCAAGGCAAATGCACTACCGCTGTGCTATTGCTCCAGCCACTAACATTGATGTTATAAAGAATATTTAAATTCATATAAGAAAATAAATATGATTATGATGATAATGATGACAATATCAGGTGTAACAGTTACTGTTCTAAGTGCATTCTTTCATTAGGAAAATCTCTATTCAATGTGTAAGACACTGCTTGCAAATGCTGGAGATTTAGGAGTCAAAGAGGGAAAAAAAAAGATCTCTCCTTTATGAAGCACGAAAACAAAAAGGTAGATAAGAAGCAAACAAGTAGAGGCACCACCTAATAAATCAGATGTGAAGTGCTATAGAAATAAAGCTAAAGAAAGCAAAGAAAACACGTGCTGTCAAGTGGAGTGGAGTGGAGCTCCTTTTTTTATAGATATGATCAAAGAAGAACTCCATTGTAAAGGTCACACTTGAACAAATTCCTAAAGGAAATTAAAGCATGAGTTACAAAGATTTTTAGGGAAGAACATTATAATCAGAAAGAATAGCTGGTGCAAATGTCCTTTCTGAACAGATATCATCCACAATGTGCTTGAAGAATAGCAAGAAAACCAATAAAATTAGAACTTAGTAAGGAAGAGTAAGAATCATAAGAGCTAACGCGAGAGAAATTCATGCATGTCCTTGCAAACCATCATCAGGACTTTGGCTTTCACATTTATGGAGCTGAGAGGGCAGGGAAAGAGACCCAGATGTAAACCCAGGTTAACCTGAGTGCACCTGATCCCAGAACCTGCCTTAATGACTAATAAAAATGACAGCTTTTCTTGTTTATTTCTGTGTTTCTTTTCTGGTGCAGTCGGATTTTTGTTGGCTTTTTATCTGTATGAAGTCCCTCACTTTTCACAGGTTCTTTCTGCAACTCTGCCACATCTATATTGGAAAGGAAAAAGAAGAGATAATCACTAATAAATGCGTTGAATGCATAAGGAAATTGCCCCAGTCACTGGAGTTCTTGGGTTCTGCTTCCTGGAGGCACCCACTCGCCCCAATATTTGTGCTCTCCTACCAGATTTCTTCCATTTCTCTCCTAGCACCCTAACCCCTGAATTAAGTGAGTTATTTTACTTTATATTAGTTTCCTTCCACACTTGAATTTTTTAGGCATAATCAATTCTAGGCTGTGAAGTATCTGAAGTGTTTACTTTTTTCTCATCTAGTTAGAGGGGTCCAGCCTTGATAGACAGGAGTTTTGATTGATTTGGTGAAGTGGATCACATCAGTAGTCCAAGTGACAGTCCAAGGCAAAGAATGAAGAAGCAGCTTAGAAGAGCATAAAAAAGTATTAAACATCTGAGATATCAGAAAAGAGGTAAATTAAAGGAAGAAAATAATCATGAGGAAAGAAGGTAATAAAAGGTAGAAGATTTGCCCAGCAAGATTTTAGATTTGACAGACAAGATTTTGTCTAGTAAATTACGATGACAAATTTGCCAACTCCTTACCTTGCCTCGATACTTTTTCTGATCCATTCCAAACAAGCTAATAGTAGGGTTAGATTCTCACATTTGCTTCTCATTTGAATTTCCAGTTAGTTCTAATGTACCAACTCAATGTGAGAGACTGTTCATTTAATGGATTTATGAAGATATTGCTGTGAATCATTTAGGACTCAGAGCTAACCTGGAGCCCAACTCTGATATTTTTATAGACAATCTACATGTTCTCAGTTCCTGAAAACTGATTTACAATATCAGGAACTCTTGTTGGTAATAAATAGTCTTGGTTTTTCTCTCTAGTAGAATTTGTATGCTGCCTCGTCCTAATTTAAGAACATCATGAAAATCCAGATAAACGGATTACAGGCTGCTTGATTTTATTTATTTCTCTGCCTTTCTTTGTCCTTGAATTACTTGCAGCAAAAGCTGCAACAGCTCACGTCACAGCATTTTTATTAAGATTCCAAAAGAGACATTTATCACAGTAGTGGTTGAAAGAACTATACTACAAGGCAAATCACTTCATTTACATAAAAGTTTTCACATAAATCGTATGGTTTATGTTTCAAAAATTAGAAGAATTCAAAAGCTCACTTTTGGCTTTTAAGAAAAAAGAGCAACCCATTCATTTTGGAGGATGAATAAACTCCAACCCCCAGGTACAATCCATGGTGGGTATGTATTTGACCAAATAAAAAGATGAATGATTATTTTCTTTCTTTAATTTACCTCACCTTAACATCACCTCAAAATAGGCATTGGCAATATACCAAAATAAGACAAATGTTATTATACATAATTAGTAATGTTTTCTAATGTCATATACTTTCTATCTGCACATAATTTTTTGTAACTTTCGTTTCAGTGTTTTCATAAACAAAACTGTGTTAGGAAAAGTCTAAATTATATAGTCCTTAATCATATCTACCATGAAACAAATGATAAGTAAATAAATTCCTGTTAAGTCACTTATGGCACACTTGAGATAAAGCAAAGGGTATAATAGTCTTGTCCTCCCCACAACCCCATTTCACCCCCAAAATCCCACAAAGGTTTCTGTTTACACTTGCCTTTCTCAGTACTGGAAAAGCAATGACGGTGTGCACTCTTGACAGTCAGAAAGGATGTTAATCTCCATTACAAGTTTTCCATTTTCCAATAGTAATCTTATTTGAAAGATCAAGGAAAATTTTCTCAATGAAAACCAGCTTTGTTTCTAGTATGATGATTTGTTCTCTGTCTCTCTTTCTTTCTGTCTCTGTCTCTCTGTTTCTGTCTCTCTCTGTCTCTCTGTCTCTGCCTCTGTCTCTCTGTTTCTGTCTCTGTCTTTGTCTCTGTCTCTGTGTCTGTCTGTCTGTGTCTCTCTGTCTCTGTCTCTCTCTTCTGTATCTCTCTCTTTCTCTCTCTCCTCTCCCCCCTTCTCTTTCTTGGGGTTTGGGAGGTTTTGGGTTTGGGGTTTCTTACCTAAGTTCTGAAGATTGCTCAACCATAGCTGATACCTCCATTCTCCTAAGGGAAAAATGGGAGGAAATTGCCTAACCCTGGACATAATTCTTATATTATAACTTCAGGGTTAGAATTCCCAATTGCTAAACACATTTTGTACTGATGGTCTTGTATTCTTACTAAATGTCCACTCTATGTGATCAAGATAAACAATTCCTTGGCTGGGTAGGGCTGGTAAGTCTGGGGTGTGTTAACTGCCTTCTCTATAGAGCACAAGTGCCATCAATTCAGTTACCTTAATGTACATATTTTCATGTCATTTAAGTAATGTCAGTCCTGACCTTTACACTTCTGCAATGGTAGATTTAGTAACTACTTAAGAATGGTTGCTGCTCTTGAGTATATCAGGTTTTCTTGGATCACTGCAGAAGAGGCATTCTCTTATAAAGAGAATATAAGTACCAAGAAAGACAGCTAAATCTACGTAAAGGGGCTGCCAGGAGCCACACTAATCTTGTTGAATGATCAATACCTTGGATTGGTTTACAAAATATGTGGATTTTTTTTATGTTTAACTTCTCTTGTTCCAAAAAGATTTAAAGCAGCTTGTAATGATGCAGTCCAATGCAGCAAGATAAACCCAATTAAAAATAAAGAGTTATGAGTGTGATTCAGTGGTAGCAGACATTCTGTGCATGTGTTCAAACTCCAGTGCTGAAAAGTACAGTAATAATATTACAACTAATAAGTGAAAAAAATAGAAAAACTAAGGATAGATGAGCAAAATGGAGCTGAACAAAGGAGGTATATTGAGCATGCATCATGATTGCTGTGTGATTTTGAAGGATGGGTCACAGATGGTTCCCAGAACTTTCTAGCAGATAATATGAAAGGGACAACCATAAAAATTCCTACACACATACAGTTAATCTGCTGCCCACAATGATGACTAGAGTTATGTGCAGGTTTGGAAGAAAGGCTTCAGTGTTGTAGTTCATATAGAATTACTAAGCCCTTTAACCATCAAATGGTATCTGTGTGAATTCAATTTCATATCCAACTGGAGAGAGTTGCCTACTTTTTATCAGTGGGGAATCAAAGAGTTTCAAAACCTCATTGAACTGAATGAACATGTTCCTCCTTCCTTCTGCCTATAACTACCCATAATTCCTCTTGGAGCACCAACTACAGACCTGATGAGTAGGGCAAATATGTATAGAAAGAGATCAAAGGAGTATGTCTTACTTATGTTTTATTTTGGCCCTGAAGTGTTAGGAATGAGTATAAGGCAGAGGATCTACATGATTGGACCTATCTTGGGAGATTATTCCCAGGGGGGAAAAATTGGATAAAGTGTCATCAGTAGCAAAAAGAAAATATTGGGAGCAGAGATGTAGTATAGCAGGTAAGGTGTGGCCAACCTGGGTTTGATTCTTGTCACTGCATATGAGAGCTGTTCTCCTGGCTAAATTCTGATATCCTCACCCATTACCTCTTAACACACTTTCCTGTGTTACTAAAATTTCAGGCTTATTTTCTCCTTCATTAGCCTTATATTTCCACCACACGCAAAAAGGAAGAACTCCAGAGTGTTATTTATAATGCTCACACAGGGGCTAGAACATATAATAATAATAATAATAATAATAATGAAATATAGCAGATGAGCTTCTTGCCTTGCAGATAGCCAATCTGGGTTTAATCTCTGGCACCACTATATACTCCCATGAGCTCCTCCAGGACCGATCCCCAAGCACAGAGGCAGGAGTAAGCGCTACACACCACCAGTTATGGCAAAGAAACAAATAAAAAAACAGGAAACAAAAAGTCTACAATGCCTGTAGATCGTCCCCAAACTTTTTCCCAAAGACATGGCTACTGTTGACAAAATGACAAGTCACTGGACTTACACTTAGCAAATTCTGTTCCAGAACTGGAAATGAAAGAAGATGCCAGAAGCCTCAGGACAGTCTGTGGCGATGGTTCTAACTGAAGAGTCGTTAGTGGCGGCTTCTCATTCCCCTTTCATCTCCTGTTCTCCATCTCTCTTTACCCTGCAACAAAAGCATACATCTTCACTCCTCTCATTTGGCTCATAGATTTGCCTTGCCAGAAAATCACCAGCTTGAATTATTCTGATGATAAAACCTTCCTCCTGAGGCTAGAGCCCACTTCCTTCTCTCCTCTTTGATCTCTGCAAAATTTTCTTTTTTGGAAAAACCATACTGGCAAGCATACCAAACTCCTTCCACATACTTGAGATTTTACAGTGGCTTTTTGGAACTCAGCTCCGTTTTACATGTCAGCCGATCTCTGCTGGAGAGAGTCCCACAAAGACCTGTTGACACCTCACGGCACAATTTCACAAAATGTTCTAGGAAGAGATAATTTTCTAATTATACCACCAAATACTTCTTATGAAGGCATTTTCCAACCACTTTATTTCCAGTGGTGGGAATAGTCTGAGGGTGAAATTAGACCTGGGCTGCATACTTTCCTTTTCTTTCTGTCTACTTCCCCCCCCCCCCTCCCTTTTTGGTATTAGGAAGGAAGTATTGCCTGGAAAACTAGACCTTGCTTTCCAAAGAGTCACCTGAGAATGCAGCCCTTAAGAAATGGGTTCCCCCCCCCCCAGAAAGTAGTGGAAATAGTCCAAACTCTGCACCAGACTGTTTTCACTCGGGTTGCCCCAGAGTGGGGTGAGTGAGAGCCCTCCCCACCCCAAGGAACCCAGCCCCAGCAGCCAGCCTCCACTGCCCAAATGCCGCCACACTCCAGGCCCGCACAGCCTCTTTGCACTGTCATAAGACACTTCCTACCCATTTTCCATAATTACCACACCGTATTTCTTGGGGTTCAGACATTAGGCAACAAATCATAGAGAGAAATATATATATACCTCTCGGAGAGCCTGGCAAGCTACTGAAAGTATCCCACCGGCATAGGCAGAGCTTGGCAAGCTCCCTGTGGCATATTCGATATGCCAAAAACAGTAACGATAACAGGTCCCATTCCCTTGATCCGGAAAGAGCCCCCAATCATTGGGAAAGATGAGTAAGGAGAGGCTGCTAAAACCTCAGGGCTAGGAGGAATAGAGACATTACCGGCACCCCGCTCAAGTAAATCAACAAACAATGGGATGACAGTGATACAGTGGAAATAGATCTCTCTTTTTGGACCAACTGTTATCTCCAGGGAATCGTCATCATTCTGTGCTCCTTCTGTCCATCCCTGGCATATTTGTTTCTGTTCTTCTCTCTCTCTATAGTCACCTCTTCATACAACTACTACTGGAGGGAAAAAACTCCTCTTCCTTGATATGTTAATGGAGCTTCAATTTTCAATTGGCAGCTTTTTCTGATTCTAAACCAGTGTCCCGAAGTGTAGCCTACAGACTACCTGCATCAGGATACATAAGTAGGACTCAGAAAAGTGAATTTTAACAAGCTCTCAGGAGATGCATATGACCAAGGAGTTCTAAGACGCTGTCTCTACTAAGCTAAATTCCATGCTTTACCCTACTGCCCACCCTCATCAAACTCATCAAGTGACTCATTCAACATTTATACTCCACATCAAGATCATAATAATTATCAGAACAAGGACATAACTGAGTTTTCAGATGTCGCCACTTTCTAGCTTGGAATAATTGCTTAGTGAGTGGTTTTTGTACTAACTTGATACGAATCAAGCTTTCAGGACTTTTTCTAAAGTAATAACGAATAGGGCTGGAGCGATAGCACAGCGGTAGGGCGTTCGCCTTATACGCGGCCAACATGGCTGACCCGAGTTCGATTCCTCCACCCCTCTCGGAGAGCCCGGCAAGCTACCGAGAGTATTCGATATGCCAGACACAGTAACAACAAAGTCTCCAATGGAGACGTTACTGGGCCCGCTCGAGCAAATCGACGATCAACGGGAGGGCCTTTACCTTTACCTTTTATATAGCTCCACTTTTAAAGATAGCAACCAAGGATATATGTAAAACAATTGCTTTGCTTTCAGCCACATTGGCTGCAACTTGAGTTTGATATCTGGTACAACTCGTGGTCCCCAAGTAACCCCTGAGCACAGAACCAGGGGTTAACCCTGAGCACCAATGGATTTTGTCCCCAAACAAATAATCAAATAAATAAATAGAACTATAAAGAATGTAGTTTTTTTTAAATACTCTACAATTGTTCATGTATCCTTTCATATTGAATCTGACTCTAGACCCATGCTGTTTAACTCAAGTGACATCCTCCATGTTCTGATCCCTAACAGAGGCATTTGTTAGTCATTAAAGGTTAATTTGTGTAGTTGGAAAGATAAAACCTATATTAAAGTGCTTACCTTGCACATGACTAGACCCCCTATTATATCCCTAGCTCTTCATATCACCAGCAGTGCTCCCTGCAGACAGAGCCAAGAATTAAGCTGTGAGCGCTGTCAGGAATTCTCTCCTCACCAAAAATAATGTAATAATTTTGTCCAGAAAATAAGCTTCCTGGTTTAATGTTTTTGAATTTTTTTCAAGTGCACAAAGAATTTTCATATCAAAATTTCATCAGAGAAAGATCATGATATACAAGGAAATCATATTTAATTCCCCTCTCTATTCCATCCTCATGTATGAGGTGAATCCAGCTGTATAACTTACTATAAGAGTTATGTCCCAGAAACAAACTTCTGGATTATATGTTAAACTAGAAAAAGATGACCTAGGAATCTCAGTGCAAAGCGCTGTCATCAGTGGTACTGGAATATTTCCCAGATTTTGCCTGGGCAACTGCCCAAGTATTTGCTCTCTTCACCCCATTAAAAAAAAAAGAAGTGGCATAGAAGAGGGACAAGTTTTCTCAGTGCATATAGAAGAAATCAGGTTCATTTTCTTCATGTATTTTCCTCAAAGGACTAATAGGAGGGTGTAAGAGAGGAAAATAATAAAATCATATTTATTTTAAGGAGTTCCAGTTATAAATAAAAGACAGCCTTAAACTAAATTACTAGTGTTCCAGAAATAAAGTTTAAAAGAAACAGAATGAAATAAAGCTGAGAAATATATGAGCAGAAAGCAAGAAGTTGTCACCAAACTTCCAAAAGTCTCAGTCACTTAATTAGCTACTGTTGGTAAGAGAACTCCGTCTTTTGTTTTACTGAAAATGCTTATGCAAGTCAGACGCATTATTATTTACTGCTCTGATGATGATTCACATCCCTCGGTGAGTTGAAAATGTTAGTCTTTAACTAACTTCCCCACAGTCACACAAAAGTCAAGTAGTTAACAAGACACAAAATCAGCTTAAATGAATCTCAGATTCATGTCTATATTGTTAAGAATTTGGAAATTTCTCCTGTTCAAAAATAATTTCTGAATAAACTGGGGAAATGTGAATGGGGGGAGGGGGAGAAACACACACTCTCTTTTGTGCAATTTCTGACCGCAATTTGGGGTTTTAACCTAGAAGAGAATATACTTACCACAGTGGAACCTCATTTCGGTACCAAAATGCAAATCTGTCCTCAAATTCAACATGGTAGAGGGGAGAGACCAAGAAGGTTTGGCTTCCCTGAGCAATTTATTATGACAATTCTAGGACGTTCCTTGACCCTATGTTTTCTATTTCAAATCTCTGCTTTTTTCACCTCCGTTATCTCACAGATGAATCACTTCCTTTTCTTGTTGAGGAATAAGGAAGCAATCTGAAAGCCTCTAACTTTGAGAAATGGCACAGAGAGGGAGACATTCACACAAAGAAAAAGAGAGCAAGAAAATTTTTAATAGTTCTCCGGTAGTTATTTTTAAATGGGATTGAATTATAGTCTGAAAGGCAAGGAAAGTGAGTCACTTTTCTAGAAATAAGTGGGATTGTCACCATATGATTAATTGTTTTGTTTTCAGCCTCTGAAAATGCTTTCTCTTCTCAAAAATCCTTTCTCCTTTTTTTTTTCTTTTTCTTTTTTCAGTCCCTCCCCCCGCACCCCCCGCAAAAGCTCCTGGGATTCTTAGCACATCTGCAAAATCACTGTCAGTTCCAGGATCCTGTTCTGGTGCTAACCCAAATCTGGCTTCCAGTCTCAGAAAAGGAAGCCAGTCCTCACCAGACAAACAAATGGAGGTGACCTAATACCTGGGGGAGGTGGGCGTGGGGCTCTGACGCATAAATTGCCAAAGATTTCAAACTTGTCTGGTCTTCAGTCTACTGCCATGCTTAACCACCACAGTTGAGAGGTAAATTGATGGGGTCATGGAAACCAGGTGAATTTTACTGTTATATTAGAGCGAGAGGATGGAGGGCATTATACAATTAAACTGAGTAATATGGTTCTTTTCCAGCAGAGTCGCTTTATTTTTTAAGGGGAAAAAATGCAGTAAAGTAGGGCTAATATTTCAGACTTAACTAACGAATGCGTGTTTATCTCCTACTGTGTCTGGTTAAGTGAGAAGAGGAAAGCCTTTTGATGCTATCAATAAATAGAAGAAGCCTCTCTCAGGTTGTGATTTCTTTTTCCACTAATAAAAATATTTGAGCTCCTCGGGCTTTTGTTGACCTCTATTAAATTCAGGTAAATTTGGAAATGAGCAAAACAGAAAAACCTACTCTTTGGAAAGGGATAAATAAGTTCATCTATTTCTGAAGTTACAGATATTAACAGGTAGGAGAGAACATGCTTAAGGGATCTTCGAGGCTGAAACCAAAATCAGGTCTTGTTTTTTTCCCACCAAGAACCTTGAAGAAAAACTGAGCTATTTATGACTATTCTAGAGATACTTTCTTTTAGGAAAAAGATCCCACACAATTCCTGGAAACTTTACCTCTCTAAGAAGATGGCATTTTTGTCAATTAAGTGTAAAGGCCTGAGCGACATATGGAGTAAATTTCCCCTTATAACACTGATCTGTTTAAAATTTAGGGGAAAACCACTTGGCAAGGTACACTGGCCAAGCCAATGGCAAAAGTCATTTCAGTTTATCCTGATTCCTTTCCATGGTCCACCTCCCAGCCTGCCGGACATCCGGGCCTATGATTTGTAAGTCCTGAATTGAAAACCAAGCAGCTGAAGATGCCCAGAGAATCTTGGTTTCTCTTGGCATGTGTTTTTGCCCCAGGTCTGCAGAGATGACGTAAGGGAAAAGATCTAAAGATTTTCCAGAAACAAGGTAGATTTCAGAGAGCATCAGAAAAGA